AGTGTGTGAAACCACTGCCCAGCACTGCCCCCCCCCCGCCCAGCCCTGTCCCCCGCCTCCGGCCCAGCGCCTGCGTGTGCGTGTTATTGTCCATTTGGGCCTCTGACTGCGTGTGCGTGCGTGTGCCCGCGTGTCTGTGTGTGTGTGAGCGTGTGGGACTGCAGGGCCCCGTGTCTTCTGCCCTCCCCTCGGCTCATCCCTCACGCTCTCCCGTCCCTGGTGTCCCCCCCTGGGCTCTTCCCCCACGGACCGCACGGGACCAAGAGTGGGCACGATCTGTGAGTCCGTGACACTGGGGGTCCTCCCCTGTTCCTGGGCAGGTAGGAGCTCTGGCCACGGGGCCAGGCCTGGGCAGGGCCCTTCATCTGGGACCCGTTGTCCGGGGGGTCGGGGCCCGGCCAGTTTGAGCCAGGACCCCAGATTGGTTCCAAGTGAGCCCCCCCAGGGGGGCAGCGATGGCATCTGCACATGCAGCCCAGATGCCGGTATGATGGGCTGGCTCTGGCTGTCCGCTCCCCTCCGGCTCTGGCTGCCTGGGCTCAGGGGGCACCGGAAAGGCACTGAACCCCCGACCCCACCTGGGACAGGCAGCCCCCAGTCTCAGGGGAAAGTGGTGGTGATGGGGGGGGATATTTACCCCGTCCCTGCCCAGGGCAGTGACCCTGCCAGGCCCGGGCGGTCTCAGTGCCAGGGGACGAGGCTGCCCCCTGAGCCAGCCTGTTCCCTGCCCCGCCCCCAGGCACTGACGTGGGGCTGGGAGCCCAGCTCAGGGTTTCCACAACCCCCCACCTCCCCCAGGCTGTGTCAGGAGCCAGGCCGGGAACATTCGGCTCCCACCCACGCTGCCCGCCCTGGGGTGTCCACCTGTTCTCACGGGGCCCCGGAAGGGCGGGGGCTGGGGGGGGGACGTGAGTCAGCGAGCGGGGAAGGAAACGGCCCCTTCTCTGCGCGCGAGCGAGTGAGCGAGCGCCCGCCGGGGTTGTGCGGTCGGTGTGAGCTGCGGACGCGGCTCCGGCTGCTGGCACGGCCCAGCCCCGTCTGCTCAGTGCCTGCTACGGCCCCGCCTGCCCTCGGCCCCTCCTGGGGGCACCTGGCCTGGCTGGGGAGCCGCTGGGATCCAGAGCGTAATGAACCCACGGGGCAAGGGCTGGCCCCTCACTCCCGACCCGCAGCCCCTGCTAGCCCAGCCCTGGGCTCCCCCCCAGCTCTGCCGGTGCCCCTCACTCCCGACCCGCAGCCCCTGCTACCCAGCCCTGGGCTCCCCCCTGCTCTGCCGGTGCCCCTCAGTCCCGACCCGCAGCCCCTGCTACCCAGCCCTGGGCTCCCCCCAGCTCTGCCGGTGTCCCTCACTCCCGACCCGCAGCCCCAGTCGGAGGTGAGGATGGGGCCAGGTTCTCCCCTGTGTGGAGAGTCTCTGCAGGAAGTGAAACAGCTTCTCCTGGAAACCTCCCGTCACACCTCCCTTCCCCCAGCTCCTGGCATGACGGGGCAGGGGCAGCCCCACAGGGCAGGGGCAGCCCCAGAGAAGCTGGGCGGGGGGAGGTGTCCGTCTAAGGAAAGCAAAAGTCCTGCAAGGTGGAGAACAGGGAGGTGAAGCTGGGTCCTAAAGGGGCCCCCAGCCCAGCTCTGCCGGTGCCCCTCACTCCCGACCCGCAGCCCCTGCCAGCCCTGGGCTCCCCCCATCAGCCCCTGGGTGCCAGGGGCAGGTTCTGGATACGCAGGCCAGGCTCGGGGGAGGAGCGCGTGGTGGCAATGGGGGCATGTGCCTGAGGTGCTAACCCCGTCCCCTGCTGTCTCCACGCCCCGCGCTCCTGGCACCCTGGCGAAGATGGCGTCATGGCTGCAGCGAGGGGCTGCCAGCTCCCTGCCCCTGCGCTCCCCGCCTTGCTGGACCCTGGGGAGTTTCCAGGCCTCGCTCCTCCCTCCTGGCCCCCAAGGGCCCCGCAGGGCCCGGCTCCCCCGGCCGCCCACGGATCTTGCTTGTGGTGAGTCTGACTCAGAACAGAACAGGCCACGGCCCCGGCCCGGGGAGACTCAGGCAGCAGCCGCCAGGCTCCCTGCCCCCGCCCTCCACTCCCGGCCGCCAGGGCGAGCGGCCCCGTGCCCCGGAGACCCTACAAAACCAAACCAGGGCGAGCGGCCCCGTGCCCCGGAGACCCTACAAAACCAAACCAGGGCGAGCGGCCCCGTGCCCCGGAGACCCTACAAAACCAAACCAGGGCGAGCGGCCCCGTGCCCCGGAGACCCTACAAAGCCAAACCAAGGCGAGCGGCCCCGTGCGCCGGAGACCCTACAAAACCAAAC